GGGGGGGGGGGTACGTCTGCGCGCGCGTGTCTCTGCTTGTCGGTATCAAAGCCCCTTAACGAGTCAGATGCTTGATCACATCAGACAAGATGAATGGAGGAGAATATCACAAGGGCCGCGCGGATGAAAAAAGACCACCGAAGAAACTTTCTGTCTGATCAATAATATATTTCCTTCAGTTCGCCCTCTCGCATCACTGCACCCCCCATGAATAGATCTCACACGCAGGAGGATGCTCATACAGCCCCGGTGTAGAGAAGGGGCTCTTAATCGAACCGTCTGGTTGAGTACAGGTTAAATCAAACAGATGATGCTGACAGAGGATTAAAAGAAAGTATGAGGGGAGATGTGAAAGAAAGATGAATTATTTTTTTTATTATATATTTTAAAGGCCTGAGGGATCCACTTTTGAGAAGCCTTTTCATGATGAAGCCTGTGATCTATCGCCTATTATTCATTGATCCCAAGTAATGTGCCCCGGGGGGAAATAATAACACTTATAATGTATCGGTCTGTAAAAAAAAAAAGAAAAAGTGAGGTTAATCAGAGCTCGACGGGACCGAAGCTCCTCTGTGTTTGTTTACTGGAGTCAAGATGAGGCAAGGCGGCCATCTAGCGGTGGCGCCGCGCCACGGCGCTCTGCACACAACCAAAATATATCGACAAAATGGAGCCCGTTGCTCGGCCATGACAATGCAGGTCAGAGGGGCTGCAAACTGCTACACCCGGAGAGCGGAAGGAAAACCGACAGAGCGTCGTGTTCAGAATGCCGGCAGTGATACTTGGGTAAAAGAGCGCTCACAGGCGCTCGTCATAATCATAATCAGAAAGGCCTGCTGCAGTCATAATCAAATCTTATTTATTATTTCTGTGTCATAGAGGGCATTGTAAATAGTTTGCAACTATATCATCAAAAAAATATTTTAATGCACATCAAGTGAGGTTTGGGCCTGAGCAAACATTCACACACTGCCAATACTGGAGGCAAGTGCACTCACACAAAGCTGAGAAAAAGTAGACCCATTCCTACTATGTTTGCTTAATAGACTACATGCATGTGTACTCATCCCTGCTGCTGCTGTCAGACCCCTAACGTGAACTGATGCACTCGGCCTCGTGTGCACATGGAGCTCTCCTTATGCGATGTGCTGCCGAATGATAAATCCGGGCTATTTTGCTGAGGGGTTTGAGGTGAATGTGGGTCACGGGTGCTCGTGTTCGAGTCCAGGTAGAGTTAAAATCGGCATGTGCGATGCCTAAAGGGGGAATGCTCCTTCGGTGGTGCGTATAAAAGGTGCAGGCTTCAGCCGGGGCCTTTAGTCTTTTGTTGAGTCCCTTTTACTTCTATGATTCATAAGAAAAGGTGAATCATTCTTTAGGGAGGAAGAATGGAGGAGCACATGTCTCCCAGTAAGACACACGCTCCTTATCAGGGAGTTATGTCCCAGCTGTGGCTGACCCTTCGTTGCCCTGACCTTCCCATGGATCTGTGGGATCCATCCTAATGGTTTGAAACCTCAGGTATCAAGCAGCCACCTACAGTTGAGGATCAGCAAAACGGTGTCCTGTAGCAGCCGTCTGAGAGGAACGGTTGGATTTGTCTACAGTGACATCACTCAACAGACAGGTTTCATTTAGTCACAAGTCCACAGCGGCCGTCTGAATCTCCTTTTTTCTGCCTTGCATGTGTTGAAATGAATGTAAAGGTGCGTTTGAGGTCCGAATTTACATCTTTCGCCATACAGAGAAACACTGAAAAGCTCTCACGTGTGATTTATAGTGGAGGATGCATTAGAAGGAGGTTGAGTGCAGGTTTAAAGGCAACATTGCCAGATGGATGCATTGTTGCATTTAATTACAAAACGACCACGGCAGTTGAAGGCCAGGCACCCTGAGCCGTTACTAAAGTTGACCTCAGTTGTCAATGAATGCTTGCAAATCACCCGTTTTACTTTCACTCATTGTGGTGTTGATGTGGAGACTCCCAACTTCCATCTCTCGCTCTCTCTCTCTCTCTCTCTCTCTCTCTTCAAGAAACAAACTCACTACACACGATATCGAGGAAAATTCCCAGGACTTGTTTTTATTAAGAGAATTTCAGAACATAAGAGAGGGACCAGACACCTGCAATTTGTCAGAGAGGGTTTCCAAATTCGATTGTTTAAAAAAACCAGTGTTTAGAAAAGCTGACGTGACAGCGTGGATGGAGCGGGAGCTGTTTCACACGCAGGGTCGTCTAGGAGACGGGTCGGAGGCGATCGCTGTTCCCGGAATGTTTCACATGTTCGTCTTCCTCTTTCTTATGGACAACACGCTTTTTTTTTTTTCTTCTTTTTTTTTTTTAAACACGAGTTCAATGGAACACAAAAAACAAAAACAAAACAAAAGAGACAGAAGCAAAAAGGGAACTCACTGCACATTTAGAGGTCTAAAAGAATCACCCACATTAACATGGCTGAACCGTTAATATAACATGGATAAAGGCTGAACTGTAGGGGGGGGGAGGAAGGTCTAATCTGTGGAGGAAGAAGAGGGGAAAGATGGGGGCGAGGAGGAAAAACACAGGAATACACAACTCACGACATAGCCAATCCGGCGGGGGTGTGGGGAGGGGGACGCACTTTCTACACCAAACGAGCCTTCAACAATCATGAAATGCCATTTAAAAAAGATTTTAGTGTGTTCATCTTGCTTGCAGACACTTGATATGACCACTGCATAATCAGCTTTGCTTTTTGTGCTAAAAATCTGTACGGATACTTATAAAATCATTGATAAAAATATTCCTCTGTTAACAATACGCCTTGGAGGGAAACCATGTGAGAGACTTGGAGGGGG